TGTGTGTGTGTGTGTGTGTGTGTGTGTGTGTGTGTGTGTGTGTGTGTATTTTCCTAAATAAACAAGAATTTAAAACCACTTTTGCTTTAAACAAACCCATACACAAATGCATGTATGTTTGTGTAAGGCTGTCTACATAGGTAAATATATCGTAATAATTGCGAGAGATGAAATAGAAAACTGGCCATAATTAGGCGCGCATGCGCAGTAGCTTTACGCGAACTAAATAGTGCGGTACGGTACAAATAAATAACCGCATACATCAAGTTATTACTTTCGTTAGATATTTTTATTTATATTTCACTTTTTCATCTTATTAGGTGCTTAGGATAGGTATTTGCTTGCTATTTTCATTTTTGTTTAGTATGAAAACATCGTTTTCTTATCGTTTACATACATACATCACATACATATATTCCAATTCCTTTCCACTTTATAAACACTCATTTATATACATATATATATATATATATATATATGTATATATATATCATATATACTTTATCGCAAAACAAAAGCACCGCAGCTTCACTCGATTTAAATGATGACTATTTTTTTTTTTTTTTTTTTTTTTTTTTTTTTTTTTTTCTTCTTTGCCGATTTCTATAAACCAAACCAACAATATCGTTCAAGAGTCTCCGTTGCACTGATTTCTTCAGTTACCAAGTTTCGAGCTTGCAGCCACAAATTAATGAGTTACTTATTTATTTATAACGTATGTATGTTCGTTTGTTTGCTTGCTTATGTTCGCGTGTATTCGTACTTGTGTGCCATGGACAAGTTTGTGCCTATGCGCAGTCGCATAACTCTCTACAGGTGGTTGAAATTGTTTGGCTATATCGACAAGTGTTTCAGCGTGCTAACAACAATATTTACCGTTACCAGTTTTAGTAAATTTTTGGCTAAACCAATATACAAATAAAAATAAATAAAATAAAATTAATAAAAAAGAAAACACTAATGAAAACTATATATCAACTTTTTTTTTTTCCCCCTTTTGTTTTCTTTTTCAAACATAATTTCAAAACAAAATTTATTTTATACTTAAAACCAAGAGACGTTTCCGTTTCACATAATCTCAAAGTTCAAGATTAGTGCGCATTGTTTGCGAATAATTAAGTCCCCGCTACTAGTAATAACCGAAATATTCATATCATGTTCTTCACATCTCCAGTTCCAGATCTTTATTCCCTTTTTTGCTTATATATAAAAAAAAAAAAAAAAAGAGAATATTTTTATTATTATTTCAGTTGCAACCGCCGGGTTCTTGTCAACGTTAATAAAATCATTGATGGGGACAGCAATTACAACCATGCTCGTCACAATGAGCAATTCACGTACTGGCAATCACACCTATCAATGGGCCGCCAATTGAATTGAAGAAAACAAGTATGCGTTCTTTCTTCCACAATGGATGCAAATATTTTACGCTACATATGCGATGAAGTCATTGAGATAAACCGTAAATCTGTTGTGTTTATTATTGAAGATAGTTGGCAACTCTTAGAGTTTAAGCTCTATTTTGGTCTCGCCAAATGTCTTTTCTTTTTTACTTCTTTTCGCTTGGTTTTTGTCCTGACTTTTTAAAAACATAAAACATTTGTATCCCGTTCAAAATTTTGTTGAAGAATCGGAAATTTTATAATTGAAATATCAGCGAATCAATGAAATTAAGTTCATCGATCATTTTGATGCGCATTAGATGAATATTAAGTTGATTTAGTTACTATTTTTTTTGTAACATTCTAAAACAACAACAACAACAACAACAAAAAAGAAGAAATTAACAAAAATTCATTTACAGCTGCGCACAGATGTGCGTAAACATGCTTGTGTGCAAGTATATGAGCATGTTAACTGAGCATTTGGAAATTCGTCTCACAGATTCGAATTGTAGAAACCCGATTTAGTAGAGCAAATCGCCTTGATGCGATTTTTATTGAAACAAAACAAAAAAAGTAAAAAAAAAACAAAAATAATCAGGCATCTGACTGACATGTATGCTTACTTAATTCATTTCGTTTGCATTTCAAATAATAATAATAATCATAGTAATAAAAATAGAAAACATTGATAGACCGAATCATTACATATTTCTTGCTTGCGTAAGATCAGACTGTAACTCTAAGAAAACATCCTATCAGCTAAATGGGCTAGAAACTTTAAACCTATACATATATATATATATATATATATATATATATATATATATATTGTTACGAAAATCCCAAATCCAGTTAATTTCAGCTAAGTAATTTTCCCTAATAATAAATTTGCTAAAGAAGGAAAAACCAAATGAGCATTCGCAGGCGCCTCATGCTGCTGCAGGCCGATGAAAACGATTAGAGGAAAAGCAGGTCGGGATTAGAAATAAAACCATAAATTTAGGTAAAGTAACATGCTTGTAAAAATGTATATAAATAGAATATTGCTGGAAGCGAGGGTTGGTTAGTCGGGCAAGAACTTTTGAGCTGAGAGTACGGCAAAAATAAATCGTGAAGAAATATAATTGTAAATAAATGCTCCTACTGTTGTGAAAGACAAAGTAGTAAAATAAAAGAACTTTGAAGTGTATTTCTCTTGAATAAAATATCCGCGATCTAGTAATACGGACTGTATCTTGTAAAAAGCGAATTTCATAACAATATATATATATATATATGTATATATATATCGTCTTCTTAAAGTGCTCGCAACAGTCAACAGGAAGCTTCAGAGACTCCTTAATGAATCAATTCAATCACATTCATATGCCCCTCTACCCGTCTATCCTTCTGATTCGATTAATACGCCTAACCTTTTATGGCCTTGTTGCCGAAGAATGTTATTGAAAGTGGTTCCGATCGGACCGCTTGATCTTACGATCACTTCTCATATAATGCGTTGGTTTGAAACGACCACTGCTAAGGCTAATATGCAATCCATAATAATCATAACAAATAATATAACTAGAAAATTAAAAACTCACTCTTAATCCCAGCTTATGCAATCCAAGTTGAATTTTTTAAATTGCCAAGTTTTCGGCGGCAACCAAATTCTGAACACAGAGCCCGCTAAATGGCGCCTATGTTTCGAACACTTGACGTGTATTGACTTAAGTAGAATTCGTTATGCTTCACGAATGTTCTCCATACGATCTTGTAAATGTGCTCTTCTCTGGAATACAATTTTTATGTTCTCTGAAACACTCGGGCAACGTTCTCTATATAGAACCCTTCGTTTTCACGGTTTTCAAGATATTTGCTTATATGATATAACCTGAAAAATATTTCTATGTCTATTCTTGCTCTTGCTTCTTTATGGACATGTTAGAGATATTTACTTTACCATCGCAGACGATGTCACAATAGCTTTTTCCTACATAAATACCGGCATCGACATCTTGAACATTTACTTGATAACATGCTTACAATGTATATGAGTTCACAAGCTCTTCTCCGCTTGTCACTCAGAGCTTATCTGTTTTTTCTTTCCGCCGATTGTTTGTTCATCTTAAAAACATATCATCGTCCTGATCACACTTCGAACTACCACTGTTGTATTGTCAACGAAGAATTTTCATAGAAAATAATCTTCTTATGAGATGATTCATATTACGCACATACATTATTTGCCAGAAGAAGGCAAAAATGTATTAGGAGCGCGAGTTCGAAACCTACTCTATTGATGAAATTTTTTTTAACTGCATGAAAAGAGTAGTAGGCTCAAAAATGTTCAATCAACAAAACACTACTACTAATACGTACTTATACCACTAATATTTTTAAATTTCTTCTTGATTTCTTTAACTTTGAAAATATGTATAGAAATTGCTATTGATTCCAATAGCTACCGCATAGTTGGTAGCATTCGGTTGGTAGCCGGAAGGTCCAAGTTCATCCCTGCCGCGGTTAGACCGACCACAAATTGCCCTTGGCTTTACTTGATTTCCTGATTGGCGAGCTATCTCTAGTCATTGGCTTTGCATTTTTGCCATAAAATATATTTTATAATTAGTGAAAAGTGGGCAAAATGACTGAAAACATTGAACGAATTTTAAAAATTGTTGATATATTCAAGGGACATCAAAGGGAAACAAGGGGTAATTTTTTTAGAGCACATCGTCTTTCAATCGATATATCAAAATCGGTTGGCGATACATTGGAAACACTCAGCTCGAAAATGCTAGCTCGCGTGGCTTTGTCACCAAACTTGTTGAGTATTGCTTCGCTTCTTATGTAGATGTGCGAAAATGACTCTAAAGGACTTGTTCGTCAGAGTTAGTAAATTACTTTTTTCATTACGCATCGTAAGAATCTCTTTACTCGTTTCGTTACTCTATGATATAACGCATTCTCTCTTAAGTATAGAAGCCGTGCAGGTTACTCGGGTTTTTCAAATGCTGTAAATATCATTTGCTAAAGAATCAGTTATCCCTTATGCCCCAAAGAAAAATGACCGTCTCTTCCGCGGCACACGTTTTCTTCTTCTTTCTTCTAGTTTTCTTTTAAGTCCTAATCGCAACATATCCACGAATTTCTATTAACTTCTTTGAGTTGCCAAAAAAAGTTTCTTTGCGTAAACTTTCAGATTCTAAGCAAGGATCGTAAATTATCATAAGCAACACTTTTTTCTTATAGCACTTTCGGAAAGGCTAAAAACTTTAAAGAGTTGCAAAATTAACTGGAATTTCCTTCTCTTCGCTTAATTAGTTCAGATAGTTTTCTTTTTGACCATCCACTTAGTGGAATTGCCCTTATATGCACAACCACGATGGCGGTTAGGGGAGTAGTGTTTGTGTACGGGCGAGACTTAAAATCAGGGGTGTTGAGCAAGACTTTCGCTGAGAGATTGTTTCAGGGGCGTTTAGAGCATATATCTTACTTTACCCCATAATATACAATGGAAACAACAAGTTCCATAATTACATGGATCAAATTTCTAATTAAGATTGTAATAAAATTATGAAATGAATACTAATCCGCTTTAAACTTTAAATGTTAAAAAAATGAATGCAATGGTATTCAACTCTGCGACCCTGTTAATTGATTGCTGTAGAGCATAATTGCTATGTTAAAGAATTCAGTCCATTTTGGGTTATTTGCTCAGTTCGCTTAAGGCCTGTAGACTGAATGCAATAGAGCTTTCCGGCAGCGGCACACTAAACTCTCCCCACAAGTAACGGATAGTAACAAGTCTGCTTAGTTACTACAAATTCCGCAAAAATTGCTAACCGGATTTCTTCATTTTCCGTTTTCGAATAGCATATTGGCAAATAATTATTTTTGAAGGTAGTTCAAAATCCACGTAAATAGTGAATTGTGAAAAATATCCTGCATTTCAATTACCAAAGCATATGCGTTTCGATCTTTTTTAACTTCTGCTACGATGCATCTCTTTGAAGAATTTTTTTTGTTTCTTATTTTTCGCAGTCATCTCTGAAAGGTTAAAATTGTCTGCAGCATTAAAAGATTTTAATTAAAAATATTTTTAATT